TGGCTGACAGTATAACGTGACTATTTTCACCTTAATAATAATTCTAAAGATGTAATGTATATAAGAACCAATTTTGTAAGAGTGAGCTCCCTTCAGCGTTATGTGTTTCCTGTCTTTTTGTACTGTATAGGGATTTTTAAAGCCTGGGTTATATCTTTAATGATTCACTTTTGTGTTTGATCGAATACATTTCTATACAGTACAACTCACAGTAAAATTAGTGTTTCTTCATTCATCTTCTTCAGGATTCTCCATGATGCTACACGTTTCTCATCTAGGTTTCAACTATTGAATCTTTCTTAAGATATGTAACAAAATATTCCTTTCTGTTTCAAGTACATGGTCAAGCTAACCTTTAACCAATGTTGAAGTTTCTGTCAAAATCAATTTGTATTTTGTTCTTTACTTTTTTGACAGTGTATCTTATAGAGCAATTTGAAAGTTGAATGACTCGAAATCCATTGTAATGAAACAATCCATGAAAATAACTATATTACACTTTATTTCTTCTGTTATTGCACAGACGGGTATTCGCACTTTATAATATTTGCATATACTAGTTCAGGCCGTGTGTGACCTAAGTGTTATTATGCCGGATTGTGGATCCCAGAATACATGGTTCGCGTCTCGTTCCATAAAAAATCCAGTTCTGCACTTTAAGGCCGTGTATGCGTTATAAGAGTAACGATCAAAATCATTATTCGATTAGAATATCTCAGGCATTGACGGAGGGTGCTGTTGCTTAGCTGCATTCCCCTCTAATCTGTCAGTTCAAAATTAGGGACGTCTAGTGCAGATAGCCCTTGTGTAGCTATCAGGGTTTTGAACATGAGTAGGCTGAGGATTCTTCTATAGTAGGTGTCTGTGACTTGTTGGCGATAAATGTCAACAATAAACGGACAGCACACAATCTACTTGTTTTAAAATAATATATTCAAAACAAGTCAAACGTATGTACAAAAAAATTCTTTACCCTATAAGTATAGGATATCACAGTTTTATTTAAAACTCTAAATAATTCTCTTTGCTTGTCAAAAGTTCACACAGGCTGATTTAATTCTTTTAGAATCCAATTGAATTATTTTTCTTTATCTTCTTTTCTCACAATACAAATCAATGAATATTTCACTTACGTTACGCCGTGGGTTACCACAGTTTTATCCTGAACCTTAAATAATTGTATCCTTTCCATCAAAGTCCACACAGGCGGGTTCAATTACTTTAGAACATCTTTTGACAAGACAAATTGTTCTCCTTATCTGTATTAAACTGTGAAACTCACTTTAAAATGACCCCAGTGGCACAGCGATTTGTCTAGAATCCAGGTTTCGATACCCGTGGTGGGCAGAGCATAGATAGCCCATTATGTAGCTTTTTTAAGACACAAGATAAACTAAATAACAACATACTAACCAGTTTTGTAAATACAACAGTAGCTTTGCTCGAATAACCAAAACAGATATATACTAATGTAGTGGCGTTTCGCTGCAGATGTGACCAGTAGAGCCACGTGTGACAGGTTTAGCGCCTACTTATTTCGTGGCCCGGCATGGCCAGGTGGTTAAGGCACTCGACTCGCAATCTGCGGGTCGCGGGTTCGCATCC